CTAATGCGTTTCCTGCCATCGTCACCTTCTCTTTTTTTTTCTGTGAATTGTCTGATTTCTTTAAATGTGAAAGCTTCTTCTCCTTTTTATTTCCTCCTCTATTTTCCTAATCTCCGGAAATTGATACGAAAAAAGAAGAAGGAGGGAAAAGGTACGCAAGGAATCATCAGTTGTCTGGAATAAAAAAGAAATGGGCAAAGAAGAAGTGATTGATATGACAGGTACATTGAGTTAGAAGTATGAAATGGGATCAAGAAAAGAGCAGAATAAAAACTTCCCATTCGAGAACTCATAAAATAAAATGAAATAAACTCAAGGAAGAACATACTTGTAAAACGGGTCCCTGGCGGGTCTTCGCTGGTTCTGTCATAGTTCCTTTTATAGTTAATATTTTCGAACCAACTTAATTAGATATGATAGAACTTGACGAGCATTACAAAACGATACTTTTTAAAATCCTGAACCTTGTTGTCTATGAACAAAGTTATGAGGTTATGAGCCTTAAAGTAGCTGATCCGAACCAAGCCGTGCCCTTCCTGATTTTTCGGCCCGTTTGGTTTGTAACTTTGTTCATCTTGTCTATAGACAAGATACAACATTTCAATTAGTATCATTTTGCAGTATTCGTCGAGTTCTATCATAATTTACCGTAAACACTCTAATAGAACGCCACCCAGACAGTCAACTTTGAGTCAATATATCTCACTTCTTTTGAAAAATATCAAAAAAGTTGTCAACTAATAATAGGTTAATCATGATATCAGCAACATTTATCAGTCAATCACTTTTTGATATCTTTCACAGAAAATGAGGTAAAAGGGCTCATATTTAACAATTCGGGTGGCGTTCTATTAGAGTGTTTACGGTAGTTGGTCCAAAAATATTGATTTTAAAGGAAAATATGGCAGAGCTAGGTTTACAAATATGAGGAAAATGGTAAAACCCTTTTTTCGTTTCACTACTAAATCGTTACAGAAAGGGATCATGTTTGAAAAATGGGTGCCCCCAGAAAGAGTGCAGAAACAATTTTCTTTTCTGCAAAAGACACTTCCAAAAAATGCTAACTTCTCGAGGGAGTATACACAAGTCCATATTTCATTTCTAGATACAAATCTTTGGGCGAAACCACCCAGTTTTGGTTTTTATCTCCCATTCCAAATTGTACATCCGGGAAGGAGAAAATGTATGACATACTTTTCGAATTCTTCGAATCGTTTCGTTTATGAAATAGCAAAAAAAGAATCTGAAAAGTTATTGAAAGAACTCGAAAAGCAGAATAGAAGAGATGACAAAAGAAGGCGAAAACAGAACATAGGCATAAACAAGTGAAAATGTTATGACAATAAAATGAAAAAGAAGAAGAAGAAGATCATTTGTTTCGGGGAAAAGAATAGACTTTCAGAAAAGGAATACAAGAAAAGAAGAAGAAGGAGAAGAATAAGAAAACAAGGAATTTCAAGACAAGATCAAGTGACAAATGAGTTATTATAGAAGAAGCGACTGAAGTGGATTGGAACTCCCGAAGGAAAAAATACGAATAGAATGATGAATCACGAATTTCAATTGTGCTGGAAAGGTTTTTTCGAAAAGTTCTTTTGGGTCAGTTTATATCAAAAAGATGACCCAACGATCAATCCAATTTCCTGAAGAGCTTGAATAGGAAAAAGTAAAGTAGAAAACTGACGTCAAAGTTCAATATCTCTTCTAACGCATCGCTGACCACAAAAATACTTCTTCCCCTCAAATTTCCAAAAAAGAAAATTTTTTAGATTAGGCTTCAATTTACGAATGCACTCTTGATACTTCCTGCAAGACTAGGAAAAAAAAGAGAGAAAAATATTTCTCGTCCCGTTATGCATGTTGCCATGTATTACGTCGAGGAGTCCAAGAATATATGTCTATGTTGCTTCTGAATTTTTTATGCATCCATTCCATAAATAGTTCGCGAGGTGTTTTGTGGATAAGCTACTTCCTGCAGGAGTGATAACTTATCACTGATAAGAGAAGATTTGTAGTGACGAAGAAATCTCTTCTGAGCAAGATGAAACAGATTAGAGGCAAGCTTAGAGAACTAAAAAAACAGGGAGGCTGCTGACAGGAAGCTAAAAAATAGGCGAGAATTCTCAAGTACAGGGTGTCTATTAATTATTGACACCGATTCAAGCCTTCATAACTCTTCTAAAACTAGATGAATATAGTCAAATTTCTGGATTAAGTATTTTCAGACGCACAAAATTTATAATATTGCAAAAGTGTTCAATGACATTTCTTTTCACTCTGACAACAGCCTTCAGAGGCTTCGGAAAGGAGGTAACGGCGGCACGGAGGTATTTTCGATCTATTTGTGCCCATATCTTCTGAAAGGGGGCCATCAGAAATGACATATTTTGTATTTTCGTGAAGAAACTATCTGGGTCCAATACCCTAAAACTTAATATTTTATTAGTTTCACTTCTGATGTGAGAAGAAATCGATCAATTCTTGTTCCTAGTTCAACTACGGAAAATTGAGTTTGAACTACCCTGGGGTGTCTTTGGTACTGTAAACCGTGGCTCAATCTTGTCGGAACTCCTTATACTAACTTTTCAAGTAGGATTTAGATTGATGCAATATCTTGATAGCTTAGATTTGTTCCATAGTTGATTTTGTTTCGGGAATAAGAGAAAACAAGGGATTTTTCGCAATTTCCAGTGCTTCCATCAAAGATCAGAATCGTAACGCAAAGCAAAATTCTTTTTGCGATTTTACGTTACTGGCAGACAGATGACATATTTCTGAATACAATTCTGCAATTTCGATAGACCTTGTTGCCATCGACTGCAAAAATTATCACCCGAAATTAGTGTCCTCGTGTGAGTGTTTAGGCGCGTGCCGCTTATGATGTTCCAAGATTGTTGAAACACAAATCTCTGGTGGCCCCCTCCCAAAGAACTCATTTGGTCTTTATAGAAAGGCTAGAAATTGTTCTTTGTTTGAAAATAATTTTCATCGAGCGTGGAGCCATTTTCAAGTCAACAGCTTTCTGTGACTCTCATCTGAATTTCAGCAAATCCTCTTTTTCACGACTATAACGATGGTATCTGATGTTACAAATACGCCAAAATTAGTCATTAGATAGCCCACGTCAGTGTGAATAAGAAAAAATTTTATGGGTGGTACTTTCGACCTACAGTCAGTACACTCGGACTGGTTTTGTGAGATCAATCATGAGGCTATTTTCAATTGTGCCGTTGATGACCGAAACAAGGGTTGAAAAAAGAGCCACCATTCAGTTCAGACGTAATATTATATAATGAAATTTGGCAGGGAAATGCATAATGAGTAGAGGAAAAGGAAAAGTATAAAAGTACACATATTATTGCTCCTGGTGTGCATCATATCTAGCTCGCAAGTTTGGTGTCAATAATTAATGGCCACCCTGTGTATGAAACTGGGTGAAAGAAGTGAACTCAATATTCTCTTTTAAACTTCTGATGAACTCGTGGCGTGATGATCTAAAAACTGATGGCTGACTCGTTCTCAAATTTACAGAAATTTTCAAAAGGACCATTCAAACTTTCCATCATCTATTTTCTCTATTTTTCGACTCATCATGTTCTTAATCTTCGTCAAACATCAGTTACTTACGACAGCACGTCATAGTGAGCACGTAAAATATGGAAACTTCCATTTGGAAGAATCGAAATAAGATTTGTCAGGAAATCTTGTAGAAATCCTAATCGGAAAAAGAAAATCTGGAATTCTCGGTTCCTACCGTAATCCTTCGGATTAGGTTTTCAAAAAACTTTTATCTGCGTAGAATTTCAAAATAGGTTACAGTCAGGTCCTAACTCAGGTGCAAGATAAACCGATAAACTCACTCCTGATCAGGCTCGAGCGTGTGAATTTTTAATGTCAGACTTTTACAAACTAAACGTTCCAATTTCCAAAACTCAAACAAACTAGATCCAATTCAGAATCACTAAAATGTCATCTGATGTCCTGAACAGCTGTAAACAACAGAAAAAGTTGTAATGGACTTAAAATACTAGGTAAAACATTTGGAAAACATGGATGATGAAGGAAAAATGAAGAGTAGGAATGCGGGAGAGACCAAACATATAGTGGTTTGCAGTCTTCTCCCTTTTTTTCTCTTCATTTTTCGCCCCACTCTTCCTTTTCCTTCTTCTTCTCCCTCCATTTTTTGCTCCGATTATTGGGGACAGCTCACGGAGAGCAAGGGATGCACACAGACATATACACATAACAAGTTAACACTTAAAAAATGGTGTTCGAAAAAAGATGGGGAAAATGTTTTGAACAAGAATAGAACCATGATTTCATTTTTTGGGAATGACCTTTTTTACAAAACGACCGTTCAACGGGGAATGAATGACCAATGAATGACCGCTTCAGAGAAATAAAATCGAGAGCTTGAAAGAACGAAACAAAGAGCCTTGTCGAGAGAATTACCACCCCAACTGAAATTCTGTTTTCATGTTCATACAAGTTGTAATTAGACACTTCGTTTTTAGCAGAATTCTCTCACATAGATGAATAGATGAGAAGAGATATTTAGAGCGGAGAATATGATATTTCCTTGTTCTTCTCTCATATTTTTGTCACAATATTTACAGAAAACGAGGCAGCGAACAACGAATGTGCGAAATCAGACAAACTGTTTTTTTTTTTGGGGCGCCGCACAAACACAGTGCTCAGAGCAAATTGAGAGTAATTGAGAGCAATGTGCTCAATAAAAAAAGCATTGCGGATCACAGAATGTTTGGGTGCGAGCAAATATTCGAGCAATCTGTCGAAAAGGGGCAAGTGGAGCTGTGATTTAGTGATCGCTTCGCCGTGTCAATGTTCTAAAAATGGGGTGCATGTTTTAATTATTTTTAAGACAAAAAATAGAAGAAAAACAATAACCTTTATGCATAAATAACGGATTTTCAGAATATGTGGCCCTAAAGAGGGCCGTTGGGTTCGGTAATTGTTGGGGAAACGAGAAGATAATAAAATTATCCTCCGAATCCGTAGAGGGTTCTTCCTTGGCGCTTCAAGGCGTAGACGACGTCCATGGCGGTGACAGTCTTTCTCTTGGCGTGCTCGCAGTAGGTGACGGCATCACGGATCACGTTCTCAAGGAACACCTTGAGAACTCCACGGGTTTCCTCGTAGATGAGTCCGGATATACGCTTGACACCTCCTCTTCTGGCGAGACGGCGGATGGCTGGCTTGGTGATACCTTGGATGTTATCACGAAGAACTTTGCGATGGCGCTTGGCTCCTCCTTTTCCGAGGCCTTTTCCTCCCTTTCCACGTCCGGACATTGTTGCGATTGATTGAAGACTCACAAGTGAGATGACGAACTGATCTTAGCACATTCCTTTTAAACAGTCTGCGGTGGAGGGGCGGAGTTACCCTTAACCACCCTGTCGGGACACATCTCTCTCTTTCTCCCGCCTATCTCCGGCCTTCCACTCACGCCGAATGTACACGCATCTCCACCTCAGAAACTGTGACTCCGCCCTGCCACCGGAGGAGATCTAAATAGGACAGAAAGAGACAGATTTCTATACCGTCACACGGATCAAACCAATCGCAATGGCTCGTACCAAGCAAACCGCCCGCAAATCAACCGGAGGAAAGGCTCCAAGAAAGCAATTGGCCACCAAGGCTGCCCGTAAATCAGCCCCAGCAGCCGGAGGAGTCAAGAAGCCACATCGTTACCGTCCAGGAACCGTCGCTCTTCGTGAGATCAGACGCTACCAAAAGTCGACCGAGCTTCTCATCCGCAAGTTGCCATTCCAGCGCCTTGTTCGTGAAATCGCTCAGGACTTTAAGACCGATCTCCGCTTCCAATCCTCCGCCGTCATGGCTCTTCAAGAATCTGCTGAGGCTTATCTCGTCGGACTCTTTGAGGACACGAACTTGTGCGCCATCCATGCTAAGCGAGTCACTATCATGCCAAAGGACATTCAACTCGCCAGACGTATCCGTGGAGAACGCGCTTAAATTTTAAGCTCGTTTTTCGCAATCCCACCGAACCCAACGGCCCTCTTTAGGGCCACAAATATCAAATCCATCACTGTTTTTCGAATGAAAAAATTACAATTTTTACTTTTTTTGTTTGTCGGTATCACTGAATTGTCAGCTCATACAGCTTGCATTTAGGCACTCTGGAAAGGTGATAGTGTTAAAATTCACTTAAATTAGAGGGGGCAATTCTATTTTTCGCGGGTCGCTGAGAAGGGCACTTCTATTATAGCGACATCGTCTTTCGGTTAAAATTTTGTTCTTAACAATTTTTTAACATCAACGATTTTATTTGTTATAAGCAAAGTTTTGTTTGCAAAATCCACAACTTGTTTTTTGAATTCCATCGTAAAATTCTGTCTTTTTTTCCTTGTGTTCTCAGTTTTTTGATATCTCACATTCTTCCTCCGATACATCATGAAAAGAGTCTTCCTCCGACATTCTGAAGTTGAAAAATTCATTACTCTCGATTTCAACGGGGAAATAACACCAAATTACCGTAAACCCTGTATTAGAAGGGCCGGCCATTCTATTTTTCGTGGGGTCCCTAGGGGGGCACTTTAATTAGAGGGGCCCTTCAATTATAGGGGGCACTTGTATTTTTCGTGGGTCCTCTGAAAACGGATCTTCTATTGGAGGGGCATCATTTTTCAGTGAAAATTTCGTTTTTCTACTAAAAATCCATTACAATTTTTATAGTAAAAAAAAAAGCAAAAACACCAATATTGCTAAATGTTTAAAAACCGGCACCTGAAAATTTCGCGGGCGCCGTTCGTGAGGCCTCGTCCTTGAATCCGCCATTATATCAAACGAAATTAACTTCTTTGAATTTAGTTGGATTTTCTGATCAAAATTCAGATTTCTTGAAAAAATTTCATTGCTAGAATTTCTAGAATTTTCTAAATCTAAAACTCTGAGCTTGATTGCGAAAATTGCTCGAACGAGAAAAACATCTGTATTAGAGCAACGGCATTCAAATTTTCAGGTGCCAGTATTTTTTAAAATCAGACAGTAATTAAATCAAAACAATAGAAAAAACGGCTGAAAATCAAAGGAAGTAGTAGTCAAAGGGGCTCTTCAATTAAAGGGGCACTTCAAATAGAGGGGGCGCTTTTATATATGACAAATGATGCATCTGGTAAAAATTTCATTGGAGATGGTCGATTTTGGGCGATTTCTAGGTGCCATTTTTGGGCACATTTTGGACTAAAACTCATAGGGGGCCCAGGTTTACCTTTTCACTCAAAACAGTTTCTAATGTATTTTTTGATGTAGAATCCAAATTTCATGTTTATTTTTACAAAATAATGGAAATTTTTCTCAGGACGGGCAATTTTTTGTCCGAAAAGGAGCTTTTTGCAAAATATTTGAAATTTTTTCCTGGGGGCCTGAAGTTGAGTTCTACAGAGAACGCGTCTTTAAATGTCTGCGTCTCTACAGCGCCTCTACAGGTTTGGAGACTCTCTACACGTTTTTTATTCGTTCACCCGCGCGATTTTTTTGAATAGACAATACATGAATAAGCCTATAATAATAACATGCAAGTTTCAAGACTTTGTAGGTAAATAGTATGCTTGTGATTTTATTTGCCATCATTGGAATCTTTTGCGTAGCTTGGATTCAACCGACTTGCAACAGAACGAAAAGAGAATTCGTTGATTCGGTTCAACCATCACCCCCCCCCCCCCCCCATTACGATCTTTCCGTTCAAAACAACCGCCGGTTCATATTCAAATGGATGTCACACAGAGAGAAGACGGAACTGAAATTAGGTTGGAGGAATTAGAGCAAGAAAAAATGAAGGCGAAAAGTGCAAAGAGTATGACGAGCAGCGAAAATAAGACCAGTTCTACGAAATCGGAAGAAAAAAGGCAGGTGCCGAAAAATAAATCACAGGAAGAAAATATGGTTGTTTCTATCGAAATCAGAATCATTGATAAACTCAAGTTGTTACAGAAACTCTCGTCTGTGAAGCTTTCTGGTGAATCTTCTGTAGAAGTGACTCTTAAGCAGCGATAATATGAAAACAATTTATTCAAAATTCTCCCGGATTTTTCATAATTGTGGCCCTAAAGAGGGCCGTTGGGTTCGGTAAATTTATAAGGGCGCAACAAGTGGCTTATTCCTTGTCTCCTCCAGTCTTCTTTGGCAGAAGGACAGCTTGGATGTTTGGAAGAACTCCTCCCTGTGCGATGGTCACTCCAGCCAAGAGCTTGTTGAGCTCTTCGTCGTTACGAACAGCGAGTTGAAGATGTCTTGGGGCGATACGGGTCTTCTTATTGTCACGGGCAGCGTTTCCAGCCAATTCGAGAGCTTCAGCAGCGAGGTATTCAAGATCGGCGGCCAAGTAGACTGGGGCTCCAGCTCCGACGCGTTGAGCGTAGTTTCCTTTACGGAGAATACGATGAAGACGACCGACTGGGAATTGAAGTCCGGCTCTTGACGAGCGAGACTTGGCCTTTCCACCGGTCTTAGCTTTTCCTCCTTTTCCTCTTCCGGACATGGCGATGATGACTTGTTGGTAGTTGAAGAACTCTGATCTGACGCAGGTAGCCGACCCACTTATATAGTATTTTGCGCGGTGGGTAGGCGGAGCTAAGCGCAAAGGTGAGACTATTCGCGCCATTCGGCTGTGCGCGTGGTTTGCAAGCAGGTGTCCCCGCAGAGGGGAAGCGGGTGACTCCGCCCCCTCACCGGAGAAATCACATATATGCGTTTCCGTATAACTCTAACCTCACACTCGTCAATCGACCAGTCAAATCTACCGAAATGGCCCCGCCAAAGCCGTCAGCCAAGGGAGCGAAGAAAGCCGCCAAGACCGTCACCAAGCCAAAGGACGGAAAGAAGAGAAGAGCCCACCGCAAGGAATCGTACTCTGTCTACATCTACCGTGTCCTCAAGCAGGTTCACCCAGACACTGGAGTCTCCTCGAAGGCTATGTCCATCATGAACTCCTTCGTCAACGACGTCTTCGAACGTATCGCTGCTGAGGCTTCTCGTCTTGCCCACTACAACAAACGCTCAACCATCTCTTCCCGCGAAATCCAAACGGCCGTCCGTTTGATCCTTCCAGGAGAGTTGGCAAAGCACGCCGTTTCTGAGGGAACCAAGGCTGTGACCAAGTACACCTCCAGCAAGTAAGCTCTCGAGCTGAAAACTACCCCACCGAACCCAACGGCCCTCTTTAGGGCCACAAATCGTGTCCTGCTTTTATTTTCAAATAAATTTTTACCATTTTTTCTATTTTTGTTTGATTCTTACGGAGAATTCACCAATCATAGTTTCTACAATTTGAACTGTTCGTTATCGAATTGAAAAAAATTGACACCTAGGTGACTAGCGATCATGTAAAACAAATTTGAAGGGGGTACGACGAATTCGAACGTTTTCAAAATCGAACTGATTCAATTCAGAA